GAGAAACTCTAACAAAATTCCAAAAATAGAAGAACTGCTGATTGACTTTTGTAACATTTATCATTCTAACGTCAAAAAGGGTTATTGCAGACCAGGGAAGATTAAGCAAGCATTCACGTAACTTTGGACCACGTCGCGACGTAGAATTTACTGTTATAACATGTAAAATCATAGTTTTGATCTATTTACCAGTCGCGATAGGTGTTGTGATTTGTGTGTCGGTGTGACTATGTATATTTGATACAATGGTCATGTGTAAACAGTCGAATATCAAATTCGGCATATACATACATTTACGTCTTGCAGATGTTGTTTTCCTATAGTTTGTCAATTGGTTTTATTCATTAGAAGTTAAAGAAAGGTTGGTAATTCCGATACATCCAACTTTAGAATATAATGACATGATTTGTGTGCCCCCTCCCCCCTTATTCCCAACTCCGTTGTGATTCCCGTTGTTGGTGGTATGCTTATTGTTTACATGCTGCTTAGAATATCATTTAGGAGTCTCTCCAGATACTAACATGATTTTCTATCATCACGATCGTGTTTTTGTTCTCGTTCCTTGTCGGATTATATACATGCATATATATAGTAGATGTCGCTGATTGGAGTTACTCCCCTTGCATCACAATTATGTGTCATGCGTCTGAGTTACGTTCTATCAGTTTTGTTTTCTAATAAACGATTTTTGAAATTAGGTAAACTGCATATGAAGGGCCAAGGAAATTGAGAACCAACAATGACGCTATAACGTTGACTATTTCCTGTGCGTCGTTAAAGACTGTTTTGACGTTGTGGCTTTCAGAAACGTGATCACCGGGACCTCAGAATTCGTTACAGATCTACTGAGTAATTTAACAAGCTTTATGCGTTGAGATCAAGTTTCGATAAAAATGGCACCCTCAATGATGGTAGAATACGTTTTACCATCATCGTAGGTGGCATTTCTAGCAGAAAAAATCTATTTAAACTCCTAAAACGTGAAACATTACTCTGAACACTTCAGTTTATGTCCAAACATAGCAGGTCCCTGTGGTGAGTGAACATCGGCTGTCGACACTATTGGAGATACTGATACATTATGGGAGATACTGATACACTATGGGAGATACTGATATACTATGGGAGATACTGATACACTATGGGAGATACTGATACACTATGGGTGATACTGATACACTATGGGAGATACTGATACACTATGGGTGATACTGATATACTATGGGAGATACTGATACACTATGGGAGATACCGATACACTATGGGAGATACTGATACACTATGGGAGATACTGATACGCTATGGGAGATACCGATACACTATGGGTGATGCTGATACACTATGAGTGATATTGATACACTATGGGAGAGACTGATACACTATGGGTGGTACAGATACACTATGGGTGTTACTGATACACTATGGGCGATACTGATACACTATGGGTGATACTGATACACTATGGGTGATACTGATACACTATGAGTGATACTGATACACTATGGGTGATACTGATACACTATGGGTGATACTGATATACTATGGGAGATACCGATACACTATGGGAGATACTGATACACTATGGGAGATACTGATATACTATGGAGGATATTGATCTGTTTACAGCTGAAGTTTCAGAAACGCTTCTGGCAGACTTACTCATAAATGTATCACAGAAAAAGAAACAAGACATTTGTTATTCTTCCAGGCGTAAGATGTCAGACGTTATATAAATTGTGGTATTTTATTTATATTGTGCATTATCATTGTCTATGCTTTGTAGTTGGGTAAATAGATGACATGGGAAATATTTTTATTTTTATTTCGAAATGCCTTTCAAAGACAGAAAATACAAAGCCATTTGGGAATTTCACATTTAAGACGCCTAAGCCTAAACAGAATGTGAACATATGAGCTCTAATTCAAATTTGTATATGTCTCTCTATTTTCAACTTTATTAAACACAATTTTGTCCGAACATTATGATCCTATTACTTAACTGTATACGTACAAATATCGACCACAGACCTTTGCCTGTCGTAGGTACGGAATGTGTCTCAAACAGCTATTTATGTTTGATTAATGTGTATATTTTTATTAGGATGACTCTGCAGGAGATATAGTTTTAGGAATGACTTTTGAATTGACTTTTTAATTATGAGTGATCATCAAAACAATAATATACACTGTATGCAACAAACATACAGTCACCGATGTTTGTGTTCAATATTCACAACTGTGTCAGTTTTGTTCTAGTATTTCTTTCCTAAACAAGAACAACACTCTGTTTTCCTCCATTTCAAATCAACTACGATTAAATAATGTCTGTGAAACACGAATGTCTTTCATCAGCGTTTCCTTATTCCAATCAACTTAACATTTTCTATTTATAGTAACATACATTGAACTTTCACCCATGACCCTTAAACACAAACTCTGTTGCGATATTATCATAAAAACCTAACTGGAAACGGATGGCATATATTTACTTTTTATTAACATTGACCTTCCAATTAGGCTCAGAAAGTATAAATTTAAGTTTGATCGATATTATATACATACAGTAGGTAACTAAAATAAAAAAGGAGATATGCTTTTAAATATCACAATCACCGCTGGATGATGCGCTAGTTAAAAACAATCTGAAAACGGTAAGTAATCACTATGGTAACAACGCTATAAGTGAGTACCTTTTTAAAGGATAGAAAGTGAAAATGAACCGCTGTGAATAATACCCTTCAACATTCATATGTAGCTACTTAGAATATGTACTTATAGAATGGGAATAAAAATCATTTCCAAAGGGCCATAATGAACATTAAAGACAAATCTACGAATCATACAATAAATGTGCTTTAAAGCGAACAGTTCATTTCCAGGACAATGTTCCTGTAACTTGTTTTTGTTTCACCAACGAATTATTCCCTCCATTTTTAAATCAATCCTAGTAAGGTATATTAAACCAACATTACGTTAGTCTTATTAGTATATACAGCCTAGACCATTAGTTGTGTATTAATTTAACAGTCCGACAGCTGAGGGAACCTATCTACAGCATAACCTTATATATAATGTAAAATAACCTATTGTAAATGTATGAACTTCATTTTAATGCATAACATTTTAATTTCGGAAACTTTTTTCAGATTATATCGTGTAACCTCAGAAACCAAAACAACAAAAAAAGTGATGACATCATATATCGAGGTATGATCCATGTAAGTTTTTATGAATACCTCATGAAAATTAAAGAATTATTTTAGGGTCATACGGTATGTGATGAAGAACCTGTGTGTATAAGCGGTTCAAGCACAAAGTGCACACATTTTTTTCGGTAATTAACGTATAAGTATATTCATGGTTATCCCTTATGTTTTCAAATAGAAAAAAACCTAACCACACTTTTTATTTCATAGTAACTAGTAATGATCTTATTAATTTTTGATAAAAGAAACTATTTGTTTGTACAAAACACAACATTACGCTGCAATTTCATCTCCGATGAAGTTCAACTTAGCTGAGGTAAGACTGATTCATATTTGGTTACCTTTTGTAAATTGACTTGTTACAAGTTTGTGGAATCTAAAATTCCAACCGGTATATTACGGCAAATGGAAGTATGCTTTCTAGATTCTGCTTAGAAGAATCGGTCGATAGGCATTGCATGTCTTTTATTAAATTATCGTCAACTATTTTATTGGTATTCCGTAGATTAAGTGAAGAAAACTCAAATTATAGGACGTGATTTCCGATGTGACCAACACAGCACTAGCTTATTTTCTCTGTTCTCACAACCAATACGAATGGCAGACCAGCCTTTTATGTGATGCTAAGAATTTGTTGCTACATTAACAAGATGATTAAAGATCAGGAAAAAATTGTACCTTATTTTAACGTTGTATATTTGACAGTAACCAACGTTTGAAAAAAAAATGTCGGGTCAAAGGAAACAAAATTTATTTTTAGTGGCCTTAATGATTCGTTAAAGCTAACAAAACGTTGAACTACTAATGTGATCTGGATAAAGGCACATTCGCTTCCATTGATATCATTTATATTAGGGTAAATGATATATTACTTTTAATTTAACGGCAGGACCCGCGTGATGGGAGATACGGCCGCGTAACGGACCGGTACTGTCGCTTGACTGACCGCTACTTAACAAAAATACTACCGGTTAATAGATTTTCTTATCAGATTAACGTTCGTAATATATCAAATGGTTTATGGCAGAATATTCGCTAAATAGGTTCTATCGAATAACGGGGCTCTATAAACTTATTACTCAGTATACTAAACAACAAACTCATATATATATACACATATATTTATTTTTTCAGAAGTGTAACCTACTCTCGACAATCTTCCCCTCTCATATCATGTTTGTCTTAATAAAACAAGCCTGTCACTCAACCTAAAAACCCATTTTAGGGAGACAGGAGGTGTACCAGCCTAATGCTTCAGAATTACCTTACTGGGATTTCTAAACATCCAGGAGTTACCCCTATTACTTCCTTATATTACATGGAATTATGCTGAACTTAAAAGGTCCATTTCGGAGCTAAACAAATATTTCCAGCTATTCTCAGAACCGCGGGAAATTTAAAGTCCTCTTTATACTTATTACTCAGTATAATAAACAACAAACTCCTTATATGCAATTAGCTGCTCTGCCTTTAAATTAGTCTACACATAACAGGTTCATGCTAAGTAACAGAATGAAGATTTATTTTAAGTATTTATAAAGATTTACTGTTCATGTTATGTTACGTTTTTAATTTATTTCAGTGGTATACTCGAAACCCCTCCTTTATAGTCTTAGACCGAAGCACTCCGACCACAGAAGGACATTACGTTATCAATAACACCCATCGGCATATCATGCTTTTAACCTGTAACAAGAGTAGCCGCAAGCCATTAGATTCGGCCGGTGAGAAGTAAACGTAAACAATTAGCCGTGCAGGTATTTCATTTGTTGTGTATTTTCATGTTAGGTCAGTTATAGCTATGTTCCCGATGCAATGGCGTATCACAGTGGAATTACAATGCGCCGATGCGTTTCAGCAATCTGGTGAGTTGTTGTTACATCTTAATGTAACGATAGTACATATTTACGTACTGCTATTTAATGACGTGATTTACCGCCAACATGAAGCAAACAATAACGGTTTGACATTTTAGTCTAACGGAGCTCTGAAATCGATGACAATGTTCGGTGTCGAACAGACAAGTTTCCTTATCTCTAGTGTAAAATGTTAATAGAGTATACGTTATTGGTGCCATTTCTGTTGACGTTAGAGGAGAAATCGAGTGTTCACTGAGTGACAGATTGTGCCTTTGAAATTAATCGCACACGTGCAATGTATTAAGTCATATATTGAAGCTATGTATACATGAAAAAGTGAGCGCAAATTCAAATTGACAGTATGGCAATATTTGTTCAACAACATTTATGTTAGGTTCATATTATCAACCTATATTACTATGGTTATTTTAATGGTATTAACTGTATACGACCTAAATATCAATTTGTCTTATATTACTATGATTATTTTAATGGGGTTTACGATATACTACTTCTATGTATCAACCTATATTACTGTGGTTATTTTAATGGGGTTTACTATATACAATGTACCACTTCTATGCATCAACCTATATTACTATGGTTATTTTAATGGGGCTTTTCTATATACAATGTACCACTTCTATCCATCAACCTATATTACTATGGTTATTTTAATGGGGTTTACTATATACAATGTACCACTTCTATGCATTAACCTATATTACTGTGGTTATTTTAATGGGGTTTACTATATACAATGTACCACTTCTATGCATCAACCTATACTACTATGGTTATTTTAATGGGGTTTACTATATACAATGTACCACTTCTATGCATCAACCTATATTAC